ACAGCTCCCGTCTTCAGCAGACTCTCTCGACTTTTTCCCACCCCAAACTGAGCCATGCTGAAGTTCAACCACCGACCAGCGGGCTTCGCGGCGGCCGCAGCCCATGTGTGTCTGTTCAACTGACCCAAGGGAATATATCTCGGAGAGACGAATGTCTTTTCTTGAGCCTTCACGGATGCGGGCACAGGAACCGCAGGAAAAGTGTTTATGTAGGGCTTCATAGGGAGGCTATGAGGTGGACACTCACTGAACTAAAAAATTGTGAAAACGCAAAGTTGTGTTTTCAGGATTTTTTTCAGGATAACGACGTATTTGTGAAACCAGATAAATAACAATTTTCACGATTATCTTGGAGGTAACAATTTCTACGTAACTTTCACAAATTATAGGAAGGTGGAGAGGGGGAAAAAATGCTCGCAGACTTCAGAATTCTCAAATGAACAAATATCATGGAAGATTTCAAAAATAGAATTCAAGCATTTCAGATGCTGAATGACAATGAGGCATATACGGTCAACGACGTTTGAGCTCTCTGATGTAAATGTTCGACGAGAACAAGGTACGGTATCAATCACAGTTCAGGTAAGTCAGACTACCCCTGGCATACCAGCTCTAAAAATTTTTCAGACAAACTACAGACTATTTCCTAAGAAGCTAAGCATTCAATAAATCTAAAGGCATGCAAAAGGGTGCCCACCTGTTCACCGGTGTCTAACCGCCGTTGGCAGACGGAACATTGGAAGCACTGGATGTGAAACACCTTGTCACGAGCCTTCCGAACTAGGTCCTCCTTCTCCAGTGCTCCGTCACAACCTGCGCAACGCTGACCGTAACGCCTGAAAATATCGACGAATGAGATAAAACTTTGTGGATGGCATCATTGTGAGGGCTCACCAACCTGGCAAAATCGCTTCTGCACAGAATCAGCCCGTCCCGACTGAAACACGTGTCCGTCATCGGCGACAAGCAATCGGAACACCGTAGGCACGCTTGATGCCACGACTTACCAACCACATTGAACACATACCTGGAAATAGGGAATAGGAATTTGAAGAAGTAGGATTTCACTGTTCACCTCATGTTCAGAAAATGATCATAACGTGACACTTTGGCAATTATCTACATACTTATCTATT